CGTCGTCGTCGTGCCCCGAATGTGGACAGACGTAGAGAGTCTCGGGGTAAGAATCTTATGGAGGATTATTTTATCCCAAATTCGTTATATCCTGCTTCTAAGTTTCAAAAGAGATATAGAATGCAGCCACATTTGTTCCAAAAAATTATGCATGATATTTGTAATTACGACACATTCTTCATTCAAAAGCATGATGCTTTTGGAGCTTTGGGTATTATCCCGGAGCAAAAACTTACAGCTGCTTTGTGGATGCTTGCTTATGGGGTATTTGCAGAGCAGGTGGATGAGATTGCAAGAATGAAAAAATCTACTATCCTAGAGTGCTTGGTGAGATTCTGTGATGCAGTGGAAAATTTGTACACGAGGGAGTACCTCCGCAAACCCACACCAAGGGACTTGCAACGGCTTCTACAAAAAGGCGAGGCTCGAGGTTTCCTAGGAATGATTGGAAGCATCGATTGCATGCACTGGCAATGGAAGAATTGTCCTACTGCTTGGCAAGGAGAGTACGGGAATCGGAAGGGCCAAAAAAGTATAATTTTGGAGGCCTTAGCTTCATTTGACTGTTGGGTTTGGCATGCCTTCTTCAGGGTTGCCGGATCTCAGAATGACCTCAATGTCCTTGGTCAATCCCCGGTGTTCGACGAGGTATTGCGAGGTCATTCCCCCCAGGTCACGTACCAAATCAACAATTCCGTTTACTCTGGTGTGTACTACCTTACCGACGGAATTTATCCTAGATGGACGACATTCGTGAAAACAATTCCGAATCCCCAATCCGAGAAGGAAAGAAGCTTTGCTTCCTTTCAAGAAGGTTACAGGAAAGACGTGGAGAGGTGTTTCGGTATCTTGCAAGCTCGTTGGGCAATTATTAGGGGTGCTGCTCGGATGCTAGATGAGGTGGTGCTGTGGAGGATTATGATGAATTGCATCATCCTCCACAACATGATTGTGGAGGATGAGTATGACTATGATGCTCTAGAGGTGTTTGAACCCGATCCAATGAACACAGTGTTGACAAGAATATATGAAAGGCCGATTGGACCAAATGGACTACCAATGGAGCCCGAACCGTTACTTCGGGATGGTCAATTCAAATGATTGATTGGTATCAAGAAATGCAATCTTCATATATTCACAAGTTACGTCAAGGTGACTTGGTCGAGCACTTGTGGGAGATGAAAGGCAATCACAATGGATGAAGTCAAGATTAGTGCTTTGTTTGGAATTATGCTTTGTTTTTATACAAATTTATAAATAAACACAATCCTAGACATGTAGTTATAAAAAAAAAACCAAGCACTATTTAAACATAGAAACACACCCAAAATCAACCCCAAAGTCAACTTTTTGGGTGTGTTTATAAATGGGTTTTGAGTGTGTGTAATGATGGGTTTTGGGTGTGTTTATATGTTTAAATAGTGCTTGGGTTTTTTTATAATTTTAACTCCCATTTTGGGTGTTTTAGTGAAACTCCATTGTTTTTTTTTATACAAATTTATAAATAAACACAATCCTAGACATGTAGTTATAAAAAAAAAACCAAGCACTATTTAAACATAGAAACACACCCAAAATCAACCCCAAAGTCAACTTTTTGGGTGTGTTTATAAATGGGTTTTGAGTGTGTGTAATGATGGGTTTTGGGTGTGTTTATATGTTTAAATAGTGCTTGGGTTTTTTTATAATTTTAACTCCCATTTTGGGTGTTTTAGTGAAACTCCATTGTTTTTAATTATGCTTTGTTTTTAATTATGCTTTATTTTGTGTGTGGTGTTTTTTGGAATGATGCTTTTTATTATTATTATTATGCTTTTATGTATGGTTTGTTTTGTGTGTTGTTTGCAATAAATTAAGGTTTGTTTTTAATTAATATTTGTTTTGATGCTCAAATATTTTTAATAAATAGTCATTTTATTTAATGCTTTTTTTATTGAATAAAAAGGAAACAATACAACAAATTAAAGGATAATACAACAATACAACATATGGCAAAGGTGTTTCAATACAACCTAATGGTTTTCATCATTTAACCAATCCGTATTGCTAGGTCCGTCGTCATGGAAAAGTTTTCTTCTCATCACATCCCTTCGTCTTAGCTTCCAATAGGCCTTTGTTTCGGGAGACATATGACTCGTATGCATGGCCATGCTTTTCATCTCTCTATCATCCATGTCTTTTTCTTATGCCTTTTGTTGTTGAATAACAAATGCTTCCTCTCGTGTCACGTCCATTTCATCTCTTTTCAAGTCTCTCTCCATTCTTAGTGAGGTGTTCTTAGCTATTTGCTCCAATAATTGTACACATTCAGTGGTTGAAGTGCCCCCTCTCTTGGCCTTTGCCGCCTTTCTCCCAATAGGTCTGGGGGGACGTGGCACAAATGTGACTCCGTTTCCATTGGGGAGTCCAATGGCGAATCGGTTGATGACAAATCGTGGAGCGGCGTCTCATTCATCACAACCGGCGGACCGGTGAGAATAATTCTGAATCTCGAACAATCCTTCACAACTTCCCAACATTGAAAATGCACGAAATTTTTTTTTCCTTGCCCCGTGGCACCGAACCACATTTGTGCTTGTATGATCTATTAAAAATAAATAATTGGAAGTGCAAGAAAAAAAAAAAATATTATGCAAGAAAATATAGACAAATTGGAAATGCAAAAAGAAAAAAAAAAGATTATGCAAGAAAAAGAAATATAATATGCAATTAAAAAAAAAGTTACATTAAATTGATTAAAATGGCAATTATAAATAATTTACCTCATCGGATAGATTTTGACCGCTTCGAATGTTATCCCTTGCTTTTGTCAAAGCATTTCTCCATTTCTCTAACTCCTTATTCAGAAGTTTGCATCTACCAGATAAGGCCATTTCGGTCCGAATGGAACCTGATCTTTGACAAAATTCTCCATGAATTTTGCTCCACATATGATGGAACTTCATCTCATTGCCCATGATAGGGTCATGACTAACGTTCACCCAAGATTGACACAACACAACATCTTCATGAGTTGACCACGAGCCTCCAACTTCGACAGAAGATGTCATTTGTTTTTTTTTATACAAATGGAAAGTAGTAGAAAAATGTGAGTGGAGAGTAAACAATATTGGAAGGAGAAGAGTTTGTATGGAGAATTGGTGTGGAAAGTGAAAAATGTGAGTGGAGAGTAAAAAATATTGAAAGGAGAAGAGTTTGTACTTTTGGATAAAAAAAATATTGGATGTAGAAGAATTGTATGAAGATTTGGTGTGGAAAGTGAATAATGTGAGTGGTGACTAAAAAATATTGGATAAAGAATAATTGTATGAAGATTTGGTGTGGAAAGTAAATAAAATGGTTATGTATTTTATAGGGAAAAAATAAAGAATTTTTTTGTTTTTTTTTTAAAAAAAAAATTCAAAATTTTTTCGAATTTTTTTGCAATTTTTTAAGCCAAAAAAAATGAGGACCGTCGGATTTCTGGAAAAATAATGATAGGAGAGTCCCTGTCGCACCACGTGGCAAATGCCCATTGGATTCTGTCAGGTGTGACGTCATCGCTGATGTCAGCGCGCGGAAGTCAAATTTTTTTACCGGTGGCACGTGTAATTCACGCGCCAACAGTAAAAAAAATTTGACTTACCTTGCGTAGATGTCAGCGTGACGTCACAAAACTCGTTTTGGACCTCGGGCTGAAGTTGCCCTTGGGCCTGCCCGGGCTGGTGGGACCCAGCTCTTGCCTGGGCCGCTTCTCCTGCGCTGGACGTCGTTCGGGCTGCCTGGGGGGGCCTTTTGCCCGGCTTGTGCAGCGGTGGAGCTGCTCTAATAGGTGTAGGGAGGCCTAGGGCCATTAACGTTTCTTTGAGCCTGGAGCCTTGAGCCTTGTGCAGCTGTTGTGTCCTCTAAACTATACCATTTACTCTTAATTTACAGGGAAAAAAAAAAAAAACTAAGAGGTAAATTGACAATTATGGTATAGTTTAAGGGAAAAAAATGTGGAAGAAAAATGAGAAAAAATAAAAAGGTACCCAGCTGCAACCTCCATCTCCGCCCAGCCGCTACCACCAACCCCAACCCACAACATCAGCCCCCCATCTCCACCATCTCCCCTACCAGCCTCCTCCATATCCATGGAATTACTCAACACACCCAACATTTTTGCTAAAGAAAAAATCTTAGCAATCTTATCCCTTTATGGGCCAAATTACAGAAGGAAGAAACAAGCAAACTCCACCCTACAAAGAAAATAAAAGAAAAGCATAGTGATAATAGCAGCAACATGAGCTATTGTTAGGCAAGATTGTTGATGTAGTTCGGAAGCGAGGGCTGGAGGAGGAGGGCCAGGTGGAGGGGGTTGCTGGGGAGGATCAGGAGCGGGAACTCTCATGCCTGGTTGTTTCTTCCTTCATTTACCGGGAAAAAAATGCCTAGGGGTAAGTTGATCATTACGACATAGTTCAGGGGGCAAAAGAATCACAAATCCATCCGAAGAACTAAAATACAAAATGTAACAAGAACTTGTAATCATTAATTTAATATTGATAAATTGAGTCTGATTTTTTTTTTTTCCTCAATAATGTAAAACAATGGGAGGATCATATAATTTAAAGTACTACATTGTGAAGGTGACCGCAGTCTCCTGCGAGGGAAAAATTACTTCCCCATCTCGTTATATACTTTCTAAAGCCGAAGAAGTCGGTCGTCTCCACTTTTTGTAACTTCTAATACCATCTGTTGGCTAGTGTTTGTATCCGTCGAGAATGATATTGCAACTATTCATTGTGCCCGCATCAAGCAGACCGTGATTCCAAAGTTTGATCATGAAAAACCTCCAACACCTGAGTTAATGAGCACTTGACATTTCAAACACAATTTTCCAATGAATCGCAAATTCATGCATTACTACTAAAAAGCAAGAAAATAAATGAAAAGTTCCAAAATGCAACAAGGTGGCTGGCCCGTGTGGGAATGCTTCTATAGGAAACAGTTGTGTTGATGTGCTTTTATTAAAAGAACGCCGAAATTTTGTTAATAATCCAAGTGAGAAGCACCTGTTAGGTGCTTTTCCATAAAGAGTTTTTATTGCCCACAAGAACTTATAGATTTTCCTACCAAACGCGGTCAGAAGAATTGTTTTTAGTTGTTAGGAAATGCTTTTAATCATTCCAGAAGCACTCCCAAGCATGAAGTGATATGCATAATATGACCGTTCTTCATAATGACATCAAGAGTAATTGGTCCCCCTGCTTCTACTGCAAATTATGTTTCCTTAAATGTACCAATGATTATGAAAATTAGTGCAACAACAGTACCAGAAAAGAGCCGGAGAGGAGACTAGCTCCTGTCCATGAAGTTTTGAAAATGCTTCGCATGCCCAGGGAACATGACCATCCGCCAGCACACTGCCACAATGAAAATAAATCTCTCTCATCAAAGAAAGCACCAATAAACTGACAACTGAAATTTCCAAAGATACCACACACAAAAATAATTGAAAACTTATCAGAAAGCCAAAAGCAGCAAAACATAGTCACCTTTGTTTTCGCACAAATGAGTTCCAGAGATGCATCAGCTGCTTTTCATCTTTGGTAACATCTACAAAATCATCAAGCATCTGCCACATGACAATATGATATTAGTTTTTGCGTTCCTAAGATTAATAGTGTTAAACATGGAGTGTTTGGCCCAATATCTAAAAGAATATCATGCATACCCTCCGATCTTCGAGATCTGCAATGTCGTCATCAACTTCATCTTCGCTATCCCGATCAGATAATACTTGCTCAAACTCCATAGGCTTCATACAAAAAATCATGCAAATTTTATCAGATTGGTAACTCGTAATAAGTTTACCATAATATAGATCATGTGCGCAACACAAGTCTATTTGCAATTTCAAATGCACATGAATAATTCATAATCTAAAAGTTATTCTTAATGAATCAGTTCTTAGGAAACCTATTAAAGATAACTGCATGCCTGGCACATGCATTCACAGGGGCAACAGATTAAAAATGCTGCAAATTCAATCCTTCAAATCAGAAAACCCACAAAAAATAAAAATAAAAACAAGCAAGGAGTTTGTACTAATTATGTATATATTAAATAAATGCTTTTAT